TTTAGCCCAACCGGGCGTTGGCGAGTTTTATCAAATATTTTAAAACATTGGACGAGTAAGCGGGAGGATTAAAAAAAATTTTTAAACAATGGACGGGTAAACTTTATAAAATATTTTTTCGGTATTTATTAAAAATCATATTTTTCTATTTCTTGATACTGCAAGTTTTATAAGTTGAAGTAAAAAATACATTTAAATAAAATTAACCAAGAACCCAAACCTACTATTTAAATCATTTTAAAACATTAGGCCGGCAAGCAAGTTAAATCTAAAACCATGGGCAAGAAGGGCTTTGGGTTAAAACCGGCCCAATTGTAGACCTCTAATTTGTATGTTTTATTTGACTAATTTTTAGAAACGTCTATGTCTATTTATAAGTTCCTAGATCAAAATAAAATATTTGAAAAAGTTCATTACATTTCCTATATTGTAATTTATCAAAAATATATTATAAATTCGGGTTCTTGTTTATAGGGCCTAGGCAAACCAACAACGAAATAACTTCATTCATAGACGGTTCACCGGTGTATGGATCTAATGCTGATATTCAAAAATATTTGCGCGAATTTCAAGGAGGTATTTATTGATATAATATATTTATTATGTTAAATCTTTATAATAGCAAAATTGTGAAAAGAAATTATTCATGATTCATTTTACGTTTATTATTTATTTTTGTATTTAAAATAATATTAATATGGAAAAAAAATTTCTTACCAATGTATTAATATTTGAATATATGATGATTTGAAATTTTTATACAATTATATCTTTCTTAGGTAGAATGAAAACCCAACAAAATCCCTTAAATTTAAAACTGAAACCACTGCTACCCATCAGCCCTAAAGCTACATCGGAAGCCTGCGCTAACATCGTAGGGAGATACAAATGTTTTGGAGCTGGTATTATATATATTATACTATATAATTATATACACGGTACTCATTAATTAGTACTTATCAATTTTATCATTCTTTTATGGGCGAGTTGATATACTTTTATAGATATATTTTTAATACCCTTTCGAAAATAATATATATATTAGGCGATAAAAGAACGAATGAAAATTCTCTTCTTATGAGTGTTCACACAATTTTTATGAGAGAACACAATAGAATAGCCGAATCACTGGAGAATATGAATCCTCACTGGAATGACGAAAAAATGTAAGTGTTTAAGTGACTTAGGCTATCTAAAATTAATCATTTTTTTTATTGAATTATTGTTGATATAATTTTAATAAGCCATTTTATTAAATCAATTATTAAATAATTTGAATTTTTTAAATATAAATATGATTATAAGAATCGCAAAAAAAATATAAACCCAATTCTGATATATTTTGCATCAATTTTAATTATTGGAAATTAATAAATCAATAATTATATAGCTACCAAGAGGCACGTAAAATAGTAGGAGCTCTAATTCAACACATAACATATAATGAGTTTTTACCGATAGTAATTGGCCAGAAAAATGTAAATAAAAACAATTTAACATTGAAGAGCGAAGGATATAGCCATGATTATGACGAAAATTTAGATGCCACCGTTGATCAAGGATTTATAACCGCCGCTTTTAGATTCGGTCATAGTCTCATCAAGTTATTCTTTATTAATATACAGTTTTTAGATATTAAGCACAATTAAATGAAATAATGTCTTAATGGTATTTTAATTTATTCGCGATCAATGTATTCATTTAATATTAAAATTTCCTAAAATTACCAAGTAATAAACATAATGCAAAAAATCTATAATTATTTTTAAAGTAAGGACATGTTCAAGATGAAAAAACTCCAATTGTCTTACACGATTCTCAAGCTAAAAAATGATTTTTTTCACCCCCAGCATATCTACAGGGTTAAGCAAAATTTCCCCCAACATGGTTTTCATCAAAGTTTGATATTGGATGGAGGAATAGATCAACTCGTGAGAGGACTCATTCATCAACCCGCTCAAATAATGGATAATAACATAGCGGACGATGTCAAAAATCATTTATTTAGACTGGATCACGAAAAATTCGGTAATTAATAAAACATATATTTTAAATTTAAAAATGATAAGCGTAAACCCTTTATAGATAAAAAAAATAGCCCTATGAGTGATGTATAATGTATACACAAATTTTCGATCATTATAAAAATGTTATAAAGTGTGATGTCATGCAAGATATATTTTCCTATACTATATTCCATTTATTTTAAGGTATGGATTTGATGGTCTTGAACATAATTCGCGCGAGGGAACATGGGGTACCTGGATATAATGCCTGGCGTAAATGGTGCGGATTACTCAAATTTGAAACTTGGGATCAAATGAAGCCTTATTTTATGAACGATGTTGTTCGTAATATGGAGAAAGTTTACAAGTAAAAAAAAACTATGCTCTTTCTTTTTCGAATATTTCTTTTTAATTTTTTTCTTTAAAAAATAACATTTATGTTTTTATAAAGATTTTATTTGAAAATTTTTTTAGGCATCCAGACGATATTGATTTATTCCCTGCTGGTATTTCGGAAAATTCCGACAACGGTGCATTGTTAGGTCCCACCTTTTCCTGCATACTTTCCCGCCAATTTAATAAATTCAAACATGGCGATCGCTTTTGGTACGAAAATGCAAACCAACCAGGGCTCATAAATCATGCCTTTAAATTTGGTTTATATAAATATAATATCTCAGATTTTATTTCTAATCTTTAAAATTAATGACAATTTAATTATAATTTAAATGGAAAAAGGAGAAATAAGCTACTTTAAATTTGAAAAATAAAATGGTGGTCTAAATCATAATTTCGAATATAAGAAAATTTACTAATTTTTTAAAATTCAAAAATAAAAGGTATGTAATGTTAATAAATTTTTTAAATTATAATGAGAAATGGGCAGTTTTATTAATAAACTGGTAAGGATGGTATTTAAAATAGATGGGAAGTAAAAAAAAATAATTTGGTAGAAATAATAAGTTTCAAAACTTTCAATAAATTTTAAAGGAAGATTTTGGTCACGTTTTATCATTTTGTAAAGTTTCCAATAAGAGGTTAAAAAAATGAATCCCTTTCGCGCCCGGAATATTTCCCATGAACAAAAAATACTTGTACTTTGATATAATAAAATAATGATTTTGACAGGTTAATGATAAAATACGAAATAATAAATATTGTTTTATAAATCAATATCTCTAAATACCAACCATTAGTTTCTTTAGATATAAAAATTAATTGATTAAAAATTTTGATGACAAATGATCTCGCTGGGCGCGAAAAGGTTAAGGCCCAGCATCAACTATTATATAACTTCTACATTTTTTTAAGGGCATTAAATAGAGCAGGAAAAATAGTATGAAATGATATTATAACAAAAGTATAAAAATAAATGGGAAAGTAAAATGGCCACTTTTACAGAAACATGGTGATTTTCCTCGTAATATAATGTAACTCATATTCTCTGAGTTAGAAAAAAAGGAACATAAGCCCACTAACATAAAAAGTTATTATGTAATTTTTGATAGTTAATTGCTTATTAGTATAGGCTAAAAACATTTTTGAACTAGGACACCCTATTTTAACTTGTTTTAAGTATTTGGCGGTATTGTTACTTTTCGTATTTTATTCTTGTTTTTATTTGTTTAAGTTTTTCTTTCTTTTGTATTTATTTCGTTTTTTTTAAACAAATTTTATCTTTTGCTTTTTAAGCTATTTAGTAATAAGTCGCCCTAGTACATAGCAATATTTATTTTCATTTCGATATGGTATAATAAGGCCTTAAAAAAAGTTCACAAAAATAAATGAAAAATATAGATCAGCTTAAGCAAATTAGAAAGGCTACTTTGAGTAGACTCATATGTGACAACTCCGATACCATCAACGTAATTCAAGCCAATCCATTCAAACAATCCAATCATAAGTTATTTTTATTTATTAAAAAATTTATGATGGTATAGGGAAACCTATTTTTAATATACTATATATATTTATAAATTTTACACGCTAGCATTTCCTATGTTAACGTTTTTATATAGTTTAATGTTTTAATTATACTTTTTACCAGAATTAGTATATAAATCATATAATTTATAATACCTTAAACGAAAAAAATATAAATCTTAATATTTATTTACAATTTAGCAATAGTATCATTAGGTGTAAGGATATCCCCCAAGTTGATTTGAACTTTTGGAAAGACACGTGAAATTCATTTTTATTATTAGATACAAAATTATTTAATTATCATAGATATATAATAAATTATTTACATATAATAAATATATATTTAACAATAGGATTACAATATTTAAAAAGAGTGTTTTATAGTATGAAAATCAATAAATAATATTATATACTTGTATTACTATCTGTATAAAAAAAATATAATTGTATTTTAAAAAGGAGATATTTTTATTATATAAAGTTTCGATTATCAATCATGTTACGGTCAAGTGTTCATGTCAAAATTCTAAAAGTTATATAAAGAGTTTTTAAGGTTTTATTCTTTCCAAAATCTAAAATCTATGGATGACATATGTCGGCATTGTTTATAGGGATTACTTCTATGTATATTATTTTTTTAAACGAAAATAAATATAAATATATATATTTTTTAAAAAAAATTATAGTATATTTCTCAAATAGTATTGTTGAACTGCTCGATTTGAACAAATTTTTTAAAACGGATAACTCGATATTTTATTAAGAAAAATATTACTCAAACTTGAAAGGCTTTGGTCGTAGCTATCACAAAGGTTTGGACATCTATTAACACAAATTTTGAGGTTTAAGAAATATTTTTTCTAACTAAAATATTAAGTTAGGTCGTTTTTTAAAATGGGTTCAAATCTAGTCGATTTAACAGCAGCACCATTCTCAAATATGAATAGTTTAAAGCAATGATAAATTTCAAGTTTAGAGATTCTGGAACATCTTATACTAATTAAATATAATTCGATCTTTATTATAAAAGGTTGTAATACACTAAAAAATTAATTAAATCTCATTTTTTTACAGGTTATTTGATGAGAGGAAAACGTTTTCTGGAATTCGGAAAATCCTATCCGAGTTATCGCAGACAACTTTGCTAAGCGACACCTTTCTTATTTCCTGCAATTGTTCTTTTCATTAATTAATTATGGAAAATATATATTTTAACAAAAAATAATTAACACGAATAACCATAAATCTTATAATTAATGACACGCCATTTTATAACTTCGCCGCATGAGAATTAGATTATTCTATATCCACTATTTTTTTTTATAATTATATCATTGCCAATATATGAAAACATAAAACAATATAAACTTAATTTTTTAAAATTTCTCTCTTGTAAACTAACAAAAAGTGGAGATGGAATAATCTAATTCTCAGGCGACGATTCGTGAAAAAACAAACAATATTTATAATCGAAAATGTTTATAATTGGCAATAGCAGTGTCATCACTAGCCTCAGTTTAGGAGGTGGGAGAGTGGATACTATTTTAAAAAAGTCTCCAAAATTAGCAAAAAAGATAAAAGGAAATTAAATTTTATCTAAAATGGTGAAAAGGCCAAAAAATTAAGGAAAATTCTATCTAAAATTTTGAAAATCCGCCTTGCACTAAGGTCGTTACAACGATATACGTAATTAGTAATATGTTGTGCCAAATTTATAAAGTAAGTAATTTATAAATGATAGGAATATGTTTCCGTCAAAATTAGATTTTCCAAAAAAAGCGATAAGTAAAGTGATATAAAGTTAAAGAAATCAATAAAATTATTCAAGGCGCGTTTTTTGCTCAAAATATATATTCCTCTTAAAAAATATGTATCCTATAAATTTTTAGACAATTCGGTCGTGAGTTTTTGATTTATTGTTGATTTAAACACTAAAATTACAAGGATTAACTGAAATATTGATCAGAAAATACGTAACTTAATATAAGTATATACTTTAACTTATGTAAAATATAATAATTTGAAAAAGCAATAAGGCAGTGTCCTAAGTCGGCTTAATACTTAACAGCCGGCTATTTAATAGTTTAGTCGTCTTTTAAGGCTATATAGACAAAAAAAAACGAGAATAAAATTATAATTAAAATAAACCAAATAAGGGTGTCCTCGATCAAATACTTTTTAGCCTATACTAATAATGAATTAAGTATCCAAATTAAGCCGACTTACACGGTCTAAAACCTTATTTTGGATATAGGATTAATCCTTTTCTTTAAAAATAAAACCTGTCGTGAAGGCGTGGTTAATAATTCCAGAGATATTAGAATTTTCATACCAAAATCTGTCACCGTATTTAAATCGATTAAATTGGTGGCCCACTATACAAGCAAACGTTGGACCTAAGAGTCCTTGAGAGGGGTTATTCCCAAGTCTTTGAGGGGAAAATTCACTGACCCCTCCTATAAATAAATCTATATCCTCGGGGTGGCTAGAATAAAAAAAATTTTCTTAATTATTATACTTAGATTTAACATGATAAATCATCTAAAATTAGAAAATAACAAGGAACCTGTAAATAGAGGAAAGTCTATGAAACACGATAGCAGGAAACATTCCTATCATATCTGTCCATTTTTCGAAACGGGGCATACCACAAAATTCTCTCCAAGTATTATAAGAAGGAACTCCATGTTCCCTGCCTCGCAACAAATTTATTGAAATCAAATCCATACCTTTTTTTTTTTTTTAATTTAATCAATATTTAGTGCCGATTCGATAATTTGCCTATAAGTCTAATAATAACTTAATTACGATATCTAAAATCCAAATCGGCTCGTAGGTTTTTTAATATAAAAAAAAGTAATTTTAAGGTAGCTAGCTATTTCTGTTTTTTGAAATTTCAACATCATTATTCTATTAGAAGATGGGACTTTCTAACTCCCAAAATTAACTTACAAAGGAAATGAGCTAATTACAAAATAAAGAAAATCTAATAAAGTTCTAAAATTTTTTGGTCGGCCCAAAATTTTAAATAAATTCTATTATCAAGCCAGACCCGGACTTTTTTATATATATTATATATCATTTTGCAGAATGACATTTTTTTTTTATAAATTATTTCAAAGTGAAATTGAAAATATGGGCATTAAATGAACACTAAAGATTCTAATTATATAAGTTTCTTGTAAGGGTCAGTTAGTTAGAGTTGGTCATGTGGTACGCAAGCGTACATTTCTATTTCAAGTTTTTTTTTATAAAAATATTTTTCAAAGCTAATTTTTAAATTATAAATAGCGAATTTCATGACAAATCAAACAAAAAAAACACCATTCTCAACCCTACCCCCTCAGATTTTTCTAAATATTTTAAAGTGTTTGTATATCTGATAATTGAGGAGAATCAGAATGTTAGCTACAAGCTCCAAAATAAATATTTGATATTAATCAATAATTGTATTATAAGTCCTATCAAATATTTTATGTTTAATATTCAAAAAAATAGTAATTTATGTTCTGGGGGGGGGCTTGGTTTATTTATTTGATGAATGACTTCTCCTCATAAAAATAACTTAAAAAAAATACAAATCAATTTTTGATTATAATATATTGAATACAAAATTTAATTTATATATATTATAAATTCAATAATTTTGACAATATGAAAATGGTTCAACTTTAATTTAATTTTCTCTAAGTGGCCAAAAAGCATGAAACTTCTGATTCCGGGAATGGGTTTGAAATCTTTTACATGTGCATAATTAATTCCAGTGATATTTGCTTTATAAAAATTAAATGAATCTAAGGTGTTTAATATTTTCACATGGACACTGAAAGTCTCTTTCTGCTATCCATTTGTTGCCACGACCTATTACGAAAAAAATGTCAATCCACTTTGATTCCAATTTCAAATTCACATGGCTTAGATTAAATTTAAATTTTTTTTGATAAATTTCATAATTTTGATTTTATGAAAACCAATCATATTAGAATAAAAAAAAAATTGGTCTTAAAATTTCTAATTTATTAAAGCTAACTTTTGTAAATTTAAAATTAGAATATAATTATATATGATAGCATAAAATTAGTATTATCTTTGATTGGTTCTCTCTTTTAACCTTTATTGATATAAAACAATTTTTTTTTTAATCGGAATTATGAAATTTTCGAATTATTTAAAAAATAGTCTCGAAATAATATTTGAATTGGATAAAACACTCTTTTCCTTTTTTTTCAATCCTTGCCATGGATTCAGTCGTAAGGCCCAAGAATTTGGTAAAACAGCTTTAAATAAGAGACCTGGACCTGAGTAGAAAATTTTTTTAAATACCCAGTCGAGCCGCCAAAAACTTTTTTAATAAATACCCGGGCCGAGCTGAATATTTTAAATTTCCATTTTTATCTATAAAAATTAAAAATAAATTGAGAAAATTTTCAGGATATTTATTTTTGTTAAAAAAAATGTGATAACTCTGCATTAACAGTTAACGCGAATTGGCGGCGAAGTATAGAAAATATGATGTATATATAATAATTTTACATTAATTTTTATATATTTCAAAACGAATTAGCGCTAACTGTGAATGATGGGTATAACCTCTAAAAAAAATGATTCACAAACCAAATGGTTCTGAAGGAAGTCGGAAAAGATGATCCCTAACGTCTTCTACTATGTGATGATCCATCATTTGCGAATTTTGTTTATAAATTCCCCTGAATATAGGATCCAACCCACTCGGGAACCTTGATCCATACGTATGCTCAGGTTGGAAAAAGTCGTTTTGCAGTCTAATTGGGCGATATCTTGTATAGTCCTCTAACATCGAGATGCTCGGACTTTATTTATTTTATTTTTTTTAAAGTGAAATCTGTCAATAATTATAATGCCTTCATAGAATTGTCTGATATTTATACGGTTAGGCAATGTATTTTAAAAATACTGGAATAAATTTTCTGCTAAAATAAAATTTTTTCAAATTTAAAAAAAAACGCGCTAAATAAATTATTTAAAGTTGGAGAATAGGAAAATAATTAAATGAATAAATTTTTAAATATGTAGGGTCTGCTGATTATATCAATTGTATTTCGAAGTTAAAATACCTATAAAGAGTTTTACTTATAAACAAAGTGACTCCTACCCCCCCCCCCTCACAGCTCCACTCCTAGCACGGTTTAAAAATATCAAACCCCACCTCTCTCCTCCAGAAAAAATAGTTCCTTTGTTTTATTTTTCATCTTCCTTTAAAACACCCCCCCCCCTCCCTCTCCCAAAAGATAAACGAATTGCATAAAATTAGTGCTGTAAAGAACGTCGATTAAATTTGAAGAAAATGATAAGTAATTTTTTTTTTAAAAATAGCCCTTCTTAGAACTCCCTTTTAAAAAGCCTAGCGATGAGCCTGATGGTACTTTTTTTAAAAAAAATATATATATTCAAGATTTCTATTTCTGATTTTTTCGAATCCCTAATAACCCCTCCCTAGTGATAACGTGGATATGATTCTTTTTAGAAAATTAAATTCATAAGAATTATAAAGTATAATAATATAAAAAGGGAAATAATTACTTTATCAAGCTATGCCCAAATCTAAAAGCAGCTGTGACAAACCCATGATCTACAGTCGCGTCCACTTCTTGATTGTAACTATGAAAGTGGCCAGTCCTCTGTAGATTTAGTCCAAATCTTCTCATGTTAGTTTCTCCAATTATTATAGGCAAAAATTCATTATAGGTAATATGTTGAATTTCAGCGGCTAAGATTCTTCTACTCTCTTGATAACTTATAATATTTATTAAAATGTACAGATACAAACACATAGTTAAAAGATTAACCCCCCTCAGCACCAGAACTAGCTAAGAAAAAACAATAATTTTCTAAGTAAACTGACTTTATGATTATCAGAGACCTGCAGAGGTACCGTTTTCACAGCTCGGGATATTTTTTAAAAAAATTTTTCAGCTAGCCGGCACAAGGTTTATATCCGGCCAGGCCTGGATTTTTTTAAAATATATTATATTTATTTTTAATTTTTATAGCTAATAATGGCGATTTAAATATCTGGTTTTAAAATATACGACCCGGCCTGGGTATTTAAAAAAAAAATAGATTTCGTCCGCCAACCCCGTGTATATTTAAAAAAATTTATATATACCCGGCAGTTTCTGATGCTTATAATTAAAGTATACATTGATTCTGTGAAAATATATATAAATCGAAACTTTTGCAGGAACATGCAGAAAATTATATAATGGGAATCCTGAAACCTTCCCCGTCAGTTCCGGAACATTTCCAAAAATGATTTGAAAAGTATATTTAATTTTTATAATTAAAGATTTTCTTTAGTTCCCCCGTTAATAGCCAAAAGATTTCACATATCATTTTTATTAATTTCACGAAACTTTCTCCAAAAAATACACCAAGGATATTGATTATCATTAAATAAAATTTATAAGTAAACTGTATTTATTAGGTTTTGCTATTTCAGCGGCTAATAAAGTTGATGTATCCCCACCCCCTAGACCGCCCATTATGGGAGAGAGATGCTACAGAAAAATTGCTATCCCATGCAAGAGATAAGCCACTGAACGAAGAAATAAACAAGATTCGGTCTGATCTTTTATTGTTGAAAAATTTTCAAAGGGTTGAATCAGAGGTGTATGTATGATATCATACACATCTTTCTTACGAGGGTGGTTTCCTTAAATATTTGCAGTGCAAATAATGATGTCCTTTGATATCAAGGTTGGCTGTTGACCAGTTCATCTTATTTAGTCTGAATATTTATTTTAGATTCTAGGCTTAAGCAAATTGCTGTACCAGAGTTCCTCGTTTATTGGCATAAGGCCTAGATTAGAGCTAGGTATTACATCCAATCATTCATACTCAGTGTGAGAGTTAAAAATAATTTGATGAAGGTTTTCTCTAGAGATCCTCATGCTAAAAAGTAATCAATGACGTTACTTACTATAGTTTCATCCCAATCTTTTAGTTAGTTGACCGTTCCATAACTTTAGAAATTCGAGCACTGTTTTTATATGAATCTCAACCTGGATGAGAAGATCTTCGTATTTAAAAATATGTGATGAGCGAGCAATATTCGAGAAGAAAAAAAAGGTTTGGGCATGAAAGATATCTAAAATAGATTGTAAGGTATTTATTTAATATAAGAAATCTTTAAGAAAATCTTGAAGTTCTGATCAATCCCCCCCCCTCCCTCGATCCAAGATCAGTTCATTTATTCAGTAAGGATGTATTTTGGAAGTGTTGTCCAGAGAAGAGATTTCACATTTGGAATAACTATTATTTTAATGCAAAGATGTTCTATTTTTGGTTCCTGGAATTTTATGAAGGAATTTTAAATTAATGAATATATTTTATTTTAATCTTATAACTTAGGATAAAATTTCGACTCTTTGGCGTTTTAATATTAATCAATAAATTAGATTTCTAGTAAGGGTTTTATGAGGACCCGACCAGACCATGACTATAGAAAGAGAGAAAGATTGGTATCTTTACATAAGTCCTGTTTAATTCCACGTATACATCTAGCATCTATTTATCTTTTCTAACGTAAAGGCCATGTCCTAGTATTGACTTATTTTCTTTGCTCTTGTTTCCTAAAAGGCCTGAATATCGTATTTCGTTTTTTTTTTAAATAATAGATTCTGACATGATCTGGTTATATTTTTAATGCTTAAAGCATCACCATTCAGAATGGCTATTTAGAATTTTAAAAGAAAAAATAAGGTTCAGGACATAAAAAATATGGCTTTAATTTTGATTATAAACTAAAAAAAATAAAACATTTTTAATAGAATTCATAACCCCCCACCCTTAGACCGCTATTTATTTTTCAGGTTTTATTATTTTTATTTTTTTTGATGATCTAATGCCGAACTAACGAAAAACATCTGTTAAAATAAAGATTCCCACATGTAAATTTGTTTTGAAAAAAGATTATAATATCACAACTTCTATTATGATAACAAGTATGAAATACGGTACCCCATTTTGGTTTGTTTTAAATGTAAAGTAGTGGAATTGTTATTTTTTATTATTTTTTTCTCGATTTTTCGTTTTATTCATTTTCTTTTCTCTTTTACTTTTGGGCTGCTTAATCAAGGCTATCAGCCAGCTATTTATTAATAAGCTGAACCAGAACACGACCTTAGTACTTTTAATTTTAGTTTTTTATTTGATGAAAACATAATAAAACAGTTTTTTTATATTCTGATTTAGGTTATTTAAAATTCTAGAAATGATAGTTTCGATTATTAGATTTGACGTAGTGATCTCGTGTTCCGGTTCAGTTAATAAGAAATGAGGAGAAAATTTTAAACATTGTAAAATAAACGAATGAAACACAAGAATTTATAAATTGCAAATTATCTAAATTTTGTTCTTAGAACCTATTCGGTTTTCTAGAAATATAAAGAAGTCACGTGTCCCTTTCTCTTAAATTTGACTAGGATGCGGAATCAGATATGGTTACGGTTACAAACCTTGTTTTAAATTCAAAAATTTGTCATCTTAAAGTATGAAGCAAATGGTTCACTTCAACCTCAACACTGCGGTAACCAAAATGAGAAAAAAAAATTTCTTTTAAAAATGATTAAAATTATTTTTTCTCTATTACTAAATCAAATCAAAAAAAGCTTATATTTATATTTTTAAAGAAATAAATGTAATACATTTTTTCATCGTTCCAATGAGGATTCACCAATAGTAATCCATTCGCAATCCTGTTATGTTCTCGAACAAATAAAGTGTGAATTGCTATCAAAATTGTGTTTTCATTAACTCTCTCATCGCCTATGATTAAATAATTTTTGTATTAATAAAATAATAAAATATATTTTTTAACTAACCAGAAGCAAAACATCTGTATGAAGTGTTTCGTTTATCTTCGCATTGTTTTGAAAATGATATTTCAGAAACGGGTAATAAATGCTTCAATTTAGGGTGTCGGGGATTAGGTTGTGTTAACATCAATCCTTTTTTATAAAAATGCCAATTATATAATTATAATATGAGCCTAGTCAGGCGATAAGTGTAAAGATAGCCCTCGGCAATAAGTAAAAAAACTTACAAACTTAAATGTATGTAGGATAGGTATTTCATACATGTTAGTGTCAAAGTTTAGAAACAAAATAGTTCTGGATCTAATTTTTTAAATCGTTCAGGTTCTGGAGGTTTCTAAATTTGACGCGATTCCAAGGATTCTAGGTTTCCGGTATGGGCTTCCAATTACAAACTCTGGTTGGAATACATTTCTGGCAAAATCCGATTTTTTTTGTTAAATTTAGAAAAGAAATGAGCTATAAAATGATGAAAATCTATAGGTAATTATATGAACTGTCCACTTGCTAAACAATGACCAAGATTTATTAGAATGCGATCAGACCATTTATATTTTTAATATATATTAATGCGATAACGTGGTAAGTCCTATCTACTATATAATATAACCCCCCACCCGAAGGATGGAACCATTGGCTTTAGAAAACATATTTGCTGGATACGATCTCAGAACTAGATACGCTCATTGAACCAACTAGGCCACAGAACCTACGAGAAAACATATGGTTAGTATTTAAAGATAAAATTATAATGCTATTTAATATTTTAATAAAATATACTTAAAAATCAATTAACATTCTACGCTAAATATCATTACCCCAAATTCTATTTTTAGAATGATTTATTTTTAAATTCCAAAAATCTAATTTTGCCCAGATACATCTGATTATTTTTATCGTGTGAGTAAGTCATCTTTAAATAATATAATGGCGCCAGCAATATTAATATATATAAATGTAATATATTTACTTTAAATTACCTTTTTAAACTTAATGCTTGTCATTTTTAAATTATTCGCCCTATTTTAAAATGTTTAGAAAAATAAAAAAAAGCAAGTGAATTTATTTATCTTTTTTTAGACATTCGTTTAAAAGGAACTCGACTGGGAACAAAATAAATTCTTTAAACTATAAGAGAAGTTTACAGTCAGCATATTCGATATATATATATATACAAATAACATAAACCTAAAGGGATTCCCCTAATTGGTTGATTCCCAACTATATCAGGTAATAATATCTAGTAATTAAGTTTAATGGAATTTCTGATTTCCACTTAAATTAAGTTCACAAAAGATAAATTTTTATGGGATTAATATTAATAATTCAAACCTTTATCAAATGTTCTCAAAGAATATGAAATTTCTTTGGATGAGCCGTAGATAGGGGAGGCATCTATGAAAGAAGTGATTTCATTATTTTGTTCTCTACTACCTATAGATTATAAAAATTAATTTTTTATGTTATTTTTTTTAAAAAAAAACATATAAATATTATTATTAGCCTTTGGATATTATAATAACATATTATGTATGTATGTGATCTTCATCGGTTCTAATTTTTTAAGCCCGGCCTGAACCAAATTTTTTAAAAAATAATTTGTTCTGTCCGTCCTGACCTGAATGAAAATCCTGACCCGAAAAAATTAATTGTCCTCCCAGCCCGCCGAATTTATTTAAATATAGAAAAATTTAATATATTTTTTGATTGCAAAAAAAATATTCTACAAATAAAAAAATATTAACGTCTAGTTTCTTGCAAGAATAAAATTTATCAATTTATTTGACAATATGTAATGATGTCATATTTAAGCCCGATCGGCCTGGCCCTAATTTTTTTAAAAAATATTAGGCCCGACCTAGCTCGAACCGAAATTATTTTTGGTTCGAGGCGGACCGGGCTCAGGTATGAGCTGAGTCGGGATTTGCAGAACTACAATGTACTTACCTAAATGACAATCTCGAGAGATCACAGGAAATGATCTCACTACCTCCATGCATTTAAGATTAAATTTTTCGTAAAAGTTATCAGACGCATTAATTTTTAAGGCAAAGCAAAGCGGATTTTTGTCGTTATCCGTTATATCCTCGTCTGATCTTTTGCAGCATTTTAATTTTCCGTATTTAAAACCTTTCATTCAATAATATATATTTATCGAAATAATTTTTTTAAAATGTTATATTACCAGTGGGGCTGGAAGCCAAAGCAAATTCATGATCCAGTAGCTGACCGAAGGTCATAACCATATTTGTTATAAAAAAATTCTCTCTGGGAGTCTTAGGCAATACCTCACTTATCATCCTAGGATTTGGAAGTTCGCCACCAACTCTATTTAACCTCGGAGAGCTTAACCCTAAAAATTTAAGAATAATCGATACCATGACACTAATATTTAAATATGTTTGTAAATTATATACCACTTACAAAAACTATGACAAATATTGTAGGGCTTTGTTTAAAAAATAATAGTTTATTATTACAAAACATTTAGTTTTCATTATTTATTTATTTTTTTAAAAAAAGAGACTAATGTAAAACCATCTCCATAATCAGCCGGGATAAATCTTTGAGCTGGATAATTAGCCATTCCTCTGAAGGGATATTTCAAATTATTGCAATATCCATCTATTTCCCTGTAATATGGGTCACAACTTGGAGTTTTTTCTTTATCATCTTCCCTTCTTAATCGGTTTTCGTAAGGGCATTCAAAACTCATCATTGTTCCATTCAGATCCAACGACTTGATCATATTTAAAATTTCGTTATTACTAAAATTTCCTTTAGCCCTTGTTAAAGTGTATGTAAGTTTATATTGAATTTTTTTTAAAAAAACAATAGCAAATGATTAAAATATAAAATATTTTAATAATTGAATTTGAGAATTGCCACCTTATTGTGTATTACAATTGTTATTAATCCTGGGGAATAAAAAATTTTTAAGAGGCGAGTCATTGCTCATACCATGAAAGACTTCATCACTGAATTAAAAAATTGTGACAGTGGGATCGCGATCCTGAATCAAAACTTTAAATCCCGTTTTGAGTAAACGCGATAAGGCTCTAAGCGACGTGTCGAGTATAGCAGCTATATCAGAGATTACAGCGATTAGGCGTTTATCGTCATTTTTTTCAGCACCTCTTATAATTGCTTTTTATAATTAATTAATTTGGTCTTTTACTCATCATGATGAAGAAATGTGGCTTTGCGGTTACTAGAAGCGAAACCTAAAAAAAGAAATCTTACTAGTAGAATCTTAAGTTCATTTTTTAAAAAAAAATCCTTTCTCTTTAATCACATCTATGTTGATTTACCAAAAAAAAAATAGAATTAGAATACAATCCATATTAGAGATATGCATATCCCTAAAACTAGTCTGCTAAACCGGAGAGCTAGAAAAAAAAATTACGAATAGAGCAAGACGAAATGTCATATAAAAAATTTTAAACTTACAATTGAGTTTAAAAAATAAGTTAAATGGTCAAATTGATTTTTATTTGGGCTAAAACGAGGATATCAAAATTTATATTTTTTAAAAATATGATGGTTATTTTTTATTCACAATTTTTTTTTACCGTCTAGGTCGGGACGGGTAATTAATATAAAAATTTCGCCAGGGCGGGTTCGAACAGGGCGATCTCTAATTCGTAATTTAATATAAAATCTTATATTTTACACTTCTCAAAGTGGATAAGTAATTTAAATATCAAATTTAACTTTTCACACTTAGTTGAACATTAGTTTATAGATATAACAATTATATATAAATTTTTAATGATTTATTTTCAAAAAAAATATCAATTATTTTTTGATATAAAAAACGTAAGAAGTTAAAATTAAATAGTTAAAATAACTTAATCATATCTCTGATCCTTGTGGCAGCGAATACTGAAACAAAGCCCATCTTGATTTTCATGTAAGATTTACTTCTTGGTATTAATACATCATTTATTTGGTCTAAAATTTTATATAATAAATGGGATAATATTAAAATGTTCTTAATTAAAATTTTTGAAAACAGTTTGTTAGATATTTCATTTATAAAAAATTTTAAAGGAAAATATTATGCCCTTATTCGACTTTTAAACCATGGAACTCCTATAAAAATATATTAATATTAAAGCGCGCAATTATTTTGTAAAGTTACTAATAAATTAAGTTTTTTAAATAATTTTTAATAACTTTAAAAAAAAGTGTCTTCTAAAACCTTATAGAATAATTGTCTTTAAAGTAGTATACATCAACCAAAGCAAGTAATTTCTTAAAAGACTTATATTATGTAGGTCAACAAAATAATTAAAATATATATATAGACATTTGATATTTTTTATACACAATAAATTGGCATTAGGAAAATCGAGTTTTAAATGATTTAAGAATAAAATACATTTAAAAATTTAATATTTTACGATTTAATATTCTAGTAAGAAATTTTGGATTACACCCGCATTTATATTTTTAAAAAAAATATACCTTTAAACAAAGCAGACTTTAATTCCACTTGGCTCATAGCTTCAACCCTCTCCATAGCTTCACCCATAGCCTTTTCCAACTGATCTCTACCTATCACTAATGTTTGGGATAGATTTTCTTCCCCTTGAGCATTAATAATTCCATGTCGACTTGCAATCAGGAATACTTGGGATAAATACATCGTGATTCTGAGTTTTATAAGCATGAATTTCATCATTTGAAAATTTAAAATCAAATTCGTTTTAAATGAGAAAAAAAACAATGTTTATTCGTAATATTTTCAAAATTAAATGATGAATAGAGATTTTAACTATTCCACTTCCTAACTTGATTTTGTTTACACAATTCTTAACATAAATTGCCTTGTTTCTTTATTATAAGTTTTTCCTGATTTTCGATAAATATGACCCGTTTTTTGGAGGGAGCATCATTATTAATTTTTCTTTTTTAATTTAAAATTTTTTTTTTTTAAAAATAGGCCTTGTTTACAAATGTTTCAAGTTATTAGTTATACGGGATGAGGAAATATAACTACAATTTACTACCGATTTATTTTCTTGAAAACTTTTTAAAATTGAATTTTTTAAGATTAAAAATATATAAATCCTAGTATAAATAGCAAAGTTGTTAAAATATACTTTTTAAATGGATCTAGATACAGATACAGATACATCGTCTAAAAATTTATCTAGATACAGATACAGCTTCTAAAAAGTTAACTAGATATAAATACAATTTAAAATGTATCTAGATACAGATACCATTTAAAATGTATCTAAATACAGATACATTTTTTATTATACTCTTAGATAAGGTTTGAATAAACCTAAATTAGGATTCTATTGTGAAAATTCATGAAATGATCTAAAAAATTTATTGACTCGATATCACATTTATCAAAATATAACTAAAATAATGATTTTTAGATATTAATATAATATATGATTAATATAAATAATTATTATATGTCATTAATAAAATAATATAATATATGATTAAATGATTATAATTTATAAATAATTATTAGATTTCAGTAATAAAATATTTTCAAAATTTTGGTCATTAAGACATCCTCGTTTATCTGTAAAGACATTTTTAGCTATACTAAAAAGTCTTTCAACAGGGGCGCTGGAAGGGATTATAGTGTTATTTTTAATGAATAACATTTTTATATCAGGATATTGTTAAAAATACTAAAATCTATCTCGGCATTCATTTTTGAAAAAATATTTAAAATTTGTTGATTATCAGAATTTAAATCATTAACGAAAAAATCGGATATTAAATTATTGGTTTTTTTACACAGGTTTATTATTCTGATATTCCAAAATCCCGAGCAGTAGTATAAAGATCTGATATAGATATTGGTGCAACTGTTTCTTCATCTTCCAGATCATCTATGGATTCACTAATATTTTCAATTGGCTTGAAAACTCTATCATAAATAAGTAATATTATGTTTATATTTATAATAAATTAAACCTAACAGACTTAATAAAGTTTTTGGCATTATTAGTAATGCTCTTTGAGATTTTATTTTGTATGCAATAATCCTTTGCTATATCTTGTAAATTTTTTGCTATTTTATCATATGTATGATTACCAGTCATTCTTTTACAAGCCAACGCTACATTTTTTCTTTCCAAACTTGTTGGATCTATATAGTGTGCAGTGACTCCTATGTATAAACTAAAAATTAACATTTCTGTTTGTAATTAAATTATTATACAAATTTAAATATTAGCTATACCGGCGATAGGCAATCCAACAATCTGCTGTTGTACATATTAACAATGGTTCTATTAGACTTTTAATAATTTCTTTTTTTTCATTCTCCCATCTTTGGGAGATTCTAGCAACCACTGTCGGCAAATTATATTTTTTTGTAGAGCTAATGTTTTGATCATTTTTATAAATGAAGGATTTTCAACAATTGAAAATGGCTGAATGCTATCTATAATAAAATCAGTTATTAAATCATCTAAAGTGGTTTGTAAATATAATTTTTTTTCCCAAAGTCTGAGGTCTCTTGGAAAAAAAATCAATGGACGATGAGCCTAGTCCAATATTTTCTTTAATAGGTTTTTTCTCCTTCCCCTTTTTTATTTGAAGAGTGTTTGATGTTTTCTCTTAAAATTTAAAATTGTAAACATTTATTTAGTATCTATACCCTTAAATGTTTTACAATGTTGCAAGTTGAGGTAATGCTAACTGAAATTTGCATATTTTTTGGTAGACATGGCAAACATTTTACTAACAGAGATTTGTTTTCTTTATTTTGAGATATTCTTTTAAAATATGGTCTATAAATTGGCCATGGAAAAATGTCGTCATTTTCGTCATCAATATTAATCTTAAAAATTAATATAATAAAATAGAATAAAATAAAATAAAATACCAATTCCATTGCAATTAAAAATGGCTAAATTCCTTGAGATGGATTGTAATATCAGAATTTGTTTGTTATTGATAACTCGGACATAATATTTAATTAATATTTATATATTCTTTTTTATATATAAGTTTTAATATTTTACATATATATATATATATATTTTTTTAATATATATATTAATATTAAGTTATATGCTCATATGAAATAAAATAAATTTTACATTCAAGTATTTTTATTTATAATATAAAAAAGCGTTAAATAGAAGTATATCAAAATAAAAAGTATTTAAAAACAGATACAGATACTTCTAAAATAATATCTAGATACAGATACTTTAATCAAAAATCTATCTAGATAAAGATACCACATTTTTATATCTAGATACTTTAACAACTCTGATAAATAGTATTCCTTCTTTTCAAAATTCGAATAAAATTTCTTCCCCATTAATCCTACATCAATTCCAACAATAATCTCTTTAACACTCAAATCCTTTTCAATTAAATCAAACGACATTTATGTACTGCTCTGCTTCTTTTTTTCATTATTAAGTGGTTACCATTTTTTCAGAGTTATAAAAGTGATCCCAGATGTCCATAGGTGGAGTTAGGATTTTCCTAAGGGGGGACTGATAAATTTCTGTATATTTAATTATAAACATAAATGCTTATAATATTTTTTTAAATTTTTTCTTTTGGTGCTTGTGGGAGGGGGAGGGGGTTATCTTATAACTTGTTTGTATCTGTATCTTTTAATATAAGCTATCAAGAGAGTATTATTCAACATATTAGCTACAATAAATTTTAATAATTAGAAAATCTAACATAAGAAGTGAAAAGAATGAAGGATGATATACCTGCGAGTAAGTAAAAATATATTTTATTATTATTAACTATATTATAACTCTTTCTTTTTCTTTTCTTAAGGTATATATATATTTTCTAAAAATATAAATTAGAATATATATAAAAACAAAAAGTAAGGTTACGAAAAATAAAAAGTAATATAAGTTGAATTACAAAAATAAAAAGTTAAATTGAAAAGATAACTTTGAATTCATAAAAAGTAATACAAGTTGAATTACAAAAATAAAATGTTAAATTTGAATTCACAATTTGAATTCACAACAAGAAGATTTGGATTAAATTTACTGAAGACTGGCACCTCTCATAGTTGTAGCCAAGATGTGGGCGTGACTGTAGATACTAATTAGTCGTTCAACATTAGCACTTAAGTGAGAGCAGTGCAGTATTAAATAAGAAAAATCATTAATAATATTCATTTTAGTATTTTTAGATATAAAATATTCGCCTAGAGGATTTTCAATAGTTTTATTATTTATTTCAAAAAAATCATCTATAGTAGATGGCGTTTTTGATCTGGCTAGGGTATCCTGGTTTGATATAATAATATTTAACGCCACCATAAGCCTAACGAGTTGTTATTTGTTTTCAATCAAATGAATATATAGCGAATTCAAATTGAAACTAGGGTGTACAATAGCAGCCATGTTTAACATCCAAATAATAATTATAATAATTTTAAAATAATATCATTAAATAGATGTGACTGATAACAGAATGTTAATATTAATTATTTACTGTAATTTTTAATTTCATAATATAATTCTTAGATTATATTTTATGACGATTTCAAACAAACAATGTTTGAACTGGGCGAGAAAATAAACTTTAACATAAACTCATCTAGCGCAATAACTATTATAGATACAGTTTTGAATCAAACTTTATTATAAAGATTATGGATTAACTATACATTGATAATAAATTTGTTTGATATATTACATCTTACTTCTCAAGTTGAAGCATCTAATCTTATTTGATGATAAAACCTTCTGGTACATCTTACAACAAAATTTATAGCCTGCGTTAATTATTTTTATTGAGAATAAAACATTTTGCAAATTTAGAAAAAGTAAATTCCATATTATCATCATTTTTCGGCAAAATTATTTTATCATATGATTTATACCAAAATTATCTTCAATATCAATATCTATTGTCGACTTATTTTGACAAATAGATTCATAGTGCATATTTTTAAATATAAATTTCAAAATTAAATTAAATTAAATGAAAAGATTATGATTTATAAATATATTGTAATATGAAAGTAGTGAAGTAAAGCACTACTTAGCTACTTTCATAATTAATAGCTAGCTACCGCTATCCTTATTTTTTAAATGTAGCCCGCTAAAGCTACCGCGTCTGAATGACACATTTTCATTCTCCTTACTATGATTCTTTTTCCATATTTTGATATATAGATATAGAATCCCCTCCGATATCTAAAGTGGAATAATATGATTATTAAATTTGACTAATCATTTATTCTAAACTCGCTCGATTATCTAACGCGATCAATTTCTTTTGCACTCAGCAGTACTGCGGGATAAAGTATTCGAACAGTTAAGATATTTTTCATTAAGAAAATCTTTATGGGTCAAATCCCAGCAATCTTTTAATATTTACTAAATTTGAATCATTCATTTTATTTGTTTCTTGGCAAATCGTTATTTTTAAATAAAGAATATATCGGAAAGAATTTCCAAAAATATAATTTTATTAAAATTTATTCAAGGCATTTTACCATTGTTTTCAAAGATATCCATTTAATGGGACTACACGATGGTTAATTTTGAATTTTATTAATTTTGGATTTATGGCATAAATAAATAAAAGTTTAATTCCTGAATCAAGCGATATCATTAAATATTAACATAAATGATATTTAAATATTATTATCAACAAGTTCTTAATGATTTAATTTTTTTTAAATATAAGTCAATAAATAAAAAATGGATTATTTACAAAAGGACACAGTATAACTTGATGAAAATATTATAACATATTATTTACTTCAAAGTAGATTGATTAATCTTAACAATTAATAACCTACCTATTTAAAAATTTTATATTTCTATTTAAACATTTTAAGATTTTACTAAAATTGGGTTATTTCTTGCTTATAGTGTTGCTATTGTTAAATCTTAATTGTAACAGTCGAAAAAAAGTCTTGGGGTAATAGTATAATTTTTTTTCAAGATTATGTTTTACTAAGTATCATTATTAGAGGCTAAGATGATAGTTTTTCTTATAAAAATTCAAGTAAGCCTTTTTATAGTAGGCACAAATCCTGCTAAAAATGGAGTCATTTATCACCAATACATGTTGACCACACTTTATACTTTAAATAAAGTAAAAGCTGCAGCGACTTATGAAAATTTCAATTTGGTTTATAAATTTTAAAATATTAATTGGTCAATAATAATATTTTAATGATTGAGAGACCCACCTCCACCATAGAGTCATCGCTAAAATTTACAATGTCATCACTGTAGATTGTTATATCATTTTAAATCTCCAACCAATACCCTTTTTATTAGAAATTTTTTTAAAATCCTTAAAAATTGTTAAAAAGAAATCAAATTTTTATTTTAGTTGTTGATAAAATATAAAATGAACAAAAATAATGAATATTAAAATATTTAAAAAAATATATGATTAAATATATGATTAAATAATCTATTTTTGATATATAACAATAATGAAGAGTTAACACTTTTAAATGAATATTAAATATTTTCCCGAAGGACCTCAGCTCCCCTCCCACCATTTAAAATTAGGAAAGGGGGCTAAAAAATAAACAAATACTGAGAGAAGCTCCCCTCATAATAACACCCATGCATGACTTAGAGGTTAGCGATTAGAACAAGCCGGCAATGCCACTATGAAAATTCATATATAATTATATAGTGTAATGTTGAACACCAAAATAGATCTTTTAAACAATTGAAAAGACGTTCTTTATATTTTTAGAGCCATTTTTGGTGTTTTTTTAAAAAAATTTTTTTAGTATTCTAATATTAATGATGTATATTTTTTTTCATATTAAAGGATTATTTAACTAGATTATTATTCAAGGCACTTAAGAATTATTATGCTTTTAGAGGTACCCATATTTCATTTAGTAAGTCGGGCTGAAAAGCAATATATTGTATACTTCTTAGGATATTTAAATCTAGATTTTGAACAATATATTGTATTAATTTAGAATATTTTTACAGATTTCATTTATAGAAGTCTTTTGAATAAACTAATTTACCATTTACATTATAACTCCATAAATATGAGATATATTTTTAAATATAAATAATAATTATTCAATATTAATATCAATGTTAAATTTAGATTCGAAATTTTATATATAGGGGTCTAATTTGTAAAGACTTTCACATACTGCTAAATATGATTTATTTTTTATCGATAATGAATTTTTTATATATAATTTAACATAATTTTTATCATTCTTCAAGTAATTATTTATATTATAATTATATATTATATTGATAGTATATATAACAAATATTTCATGTATTTCTTTAAATTAATTTACATAATTTTTCTTTATCTAATTTATTTTTAACTTAATACCCACTTCACATGGTTAACATTTTTTTTTTAAATTTAACCTTTTCAAGTTTATTAGATATGTAGGTATTTATACTTAATAAAATTATAGCTAATGTCTGCATATTTATTTTTTAACAGAAGGCAATAGGTTAATAGCATATTAAATGATGAATGATGGCTTGTTTAATACTTTATTTTTTTTGTTAAAATATTTTGTAACACTTATTTATTTTATAAATAATAGTTTAATTTATTTTAGCCCTTGCTTTAATTTTAATAAAACAATTGTGATCTTTTAATTATAGTAATGATCAAATAAAAAATTTTTTTTTTAAAGATTAAGGTTATAAATTTAATCATATATTTTTATGATATCTGTATAAATCATAATTATACAATGTTAATATCAAAGTTAAATATTTTCTATACTTGTATCTAATTTGTAATATATTAACATACTCTTATTGATAAAGATTTTTTAAAATATATATTAAAAATGATAGTACATATTTCAGGCATTGCTATAAATTTATATAATTTTACTTTTATTATTTCTAACTTACCATTTCACATCATTAACCTTTTTAAAAAAAATTTAACTTTTACATGTTAATAGATATGTAAATATCTATACTGAATAAATATGAATTATGTTTGATAAACTTATATAGTTAGCTAATGTCTACATATTTTTTATTTAACAGAAGGCAGTATATATATTATGCAATAAATGATAAGTGGTTTAATACTTTATTAAACTATTAAAATATTTGGAAGACTCATTTAATATATGAATAATAGGCATAATTTAAATTTACTATGACCCTTGCATGAATTTGAAATATCATGTTGATCAAATAAAAAATATTTTTTTAAAATTATTTTGGTTATAAATTTAATCAAGTATTTTTATGATATATTTAGACTACCATATTATTGGTAGGCTGAATTTTTTTATGAATAAATTTATTTGCCAGCATCACGAATCTTCATCTATTTACTTGATTGTCAAACTGAACACATAAATTTATGTGATTTTATACTATTTATTATTTACAATTTTGGTTTTCTGCAAAAATTTTAATATATCAATATTATTTCAAAATATAGACCAGGGCTAACCCAATTTTTTAAAATAAATATTAAGCCTAACGTAGCCCATACCTATTTTTTAAAATAAATATTAAGCTCAACGTAGCCCATACCTATTTTTTAAAAAAAATATGCCCAAAGTCTGTTTGGATTGGATATGGGTTGAACCTACCTTTGCAGACTATCTTTTAGGTCAACCTGATAGAAAAAACCTTTACATTTAGGCACATTAAAAAAAAAATAATATAAAAATAGGGAATGTTGTTTCTGTCTGCACATTCTTTTTCCCTTTCTAATTTGACCTTAATTTAACAAATTTATTGAAAATAAAATAGTATAATTATTGAGCGTCTTTTTAAAACATTCATTTTATAATAGGCCTTAAAGGGTCTCTCGCTCGTTATCTTATTATATGGATTTTTTTTTAAAAAAGTACTATATTATTTATTAAATTCTATTTATTTTTCAAATATAAAATATTATTTGATAATCTTGTTAATGGAAAAATTAATTGTAATATGTATTAACAAAAATAAAATTCTCACTACCATTGCTATATTTTTAAACAAAAGTAAATTAAAATCAATATTTTCAATTTTTTTGTGTGTAAAAGAGAAAGAGCATTTAATTACATAAAGTATTACATTTATTATTATTTTATTCCCACATTGCCCTCTATGGTATATTATAAATTAATAAACTTATGATATAGTATTAATTACTTTACTCTATTTTAACCTTTGATTAACTCTAAGGAAATAGTCTTAGACCAGCATTTTAGAAATAGGGCTGCACAGATATTTTTCCCAATACTGGAACCTCAGAATTAACACAAAATAGTTTTTTTATGGCATAAACATATTGCAATATCGATATAACATTATAGCTTGTTTAAAGCAAAATTATTATTAAGGAAGCATCTAGAATTAAACGATTTAAATTTGTTCAAAATTGGATCCGTTTTTGCCACTTCTAAACCCCTTCCTTAAAATATTTTTGTTATGATGACATATTTTTTAAGTGCTATTTAAAAATCCAAGATGGTTATTTATTAAGTGCCAATTTCAAAATATACACATTTATAACCAGGACATTTTGATATCGGCAAAGAATCGGTGCAGCCCTACCTAGAAGTGTCATACCCTCTCTGCTGGAAGCGTTATATTTGCATCGATAGAAATTAATTGGTTCATGTGACTTTTATTCGAAAATATTCGTTTCCTAATCCGGGCCTCACATGGAAAAATTTTGAAAATCATGACTCCAGCCTTTAAATAATTTATAAACATTATGCCGTGTGGTTAAACAAAATTTATAGATAAATTGGCTAGCGGGTGGGTGAATTTTTTAAAAAAAAATAAGTGGATGGGCGGGCGGTTTAAAAAATTTCTAAACTGCTAGTAGGTGAGCTTTTGGCTAAAACCCGCCCATTGAAGACCTCTAATTCAGAGCCCTTTATTGAAAATCGGTGCCGATTGAATTCACGTTATCAAAATTTCCGCTAAATAGAGTTTAAAATTCCTGATCCCTAATTCGAATTAACGGCGCTGATTTACTTTAGGTTTTTATAAACCCAAAATTTGGTATTCGGGCTTCGATAAAATTTTTTTAATTATTTTGTTTTCCTAATGTTTTTAATTTTACTACCCTTTTTACCGCCTATAATTTTTCCGCTTTCGTTGAAAATAGCGTCAGTCAAATAAAAAAAATGATATCGGAATCATACCTAATTATTTCTAACAATAATACTCAAAGCCTATTGGTTGGGGTAAATAATTTAAATTTTTTTATCCAATTGGGGACCTGAAAATAAAAATAGAACCAATGCAGGATATTATTTTTGATATTCTTGGGATTAGGGCGGGCATAAAAAGTTCCACTCTAAATATCTGTTTAAGACTGATTTAAATTTATTACCCTAATGTCAAACCGTTTACATTTTCCGACAATCTCGCTCTTGCTTTCGAAGGAACCTTGGATATTTATTTTAACGGCGGTACCTTAATTCACACATTATGTAACAAAATTATGATTTAATTTTTCAGCCTGTTTTTTTTGTTCCTATTCATAAGCTTTAAAATGATATTTTAATAAATCATTTGCGGGGGTAAGGGTCTGCCCTATCATCATCTTCAAATTTGAAATGCCCACGCGAGATTTCAGAAAAATTTGATTAAGATCGCACCTGCTTAAATCTAAGAAAAAAAATATTTATGATTGAAAAAATTTAATTTTTAAATAAATTTTAAACAAGGGAGAAATTTAATTTTGATTATTTGTATTTTATTTTACTTTATCTAAGAGTATTAAATACATATATTAATATTTATTGTTTAAAATATTTGGATAAAATAGTAAAATTAAAAATAGCAAAAGCACATTCAAAAAAAAAATACCACTCACTTACCACGATTCCTTATAAATTTTGATGAATATAAATTTTTTTAAAAATATTTATTCGTTGCTATCCATATTACAAACGAAACTAATATTATTAAATGGCATGAAAGTAAAAAAAAGGCTTAATAGTGCGATCGGAAAAAAAGAAGCAAACCAGTTTGCGTTGTTTTTATAAATTGTTTATTGATTTATTTGTACGATACCATTTGAAATGTATTCGCTCAATTAGGTTCTACTATAATCAAGATTTTAGCAAAAAATAATTATTATCTAAGCCTTCGAGATTTTGCCAACAGATGACTAAACCTTTCTGCCATCTATGAGCAAAATAACTAGGATAATAAGGGTAATATTTTTTGAAAAATCTTGAGTTAGCCGTTTTTTAAAAAAATCGTCGAAATCAAGCCGTTTTTTAATATTATGCTAACGACCTACCTACATCATCTATTTAAACTCTTTCCTAAGTTACCAGCTTTAGAAAGTTGGTTTTAGTAATGTTTCAAGCTGAAGTTTGAACCGAGTTGCATTAGCTTAACTTTACAACTTTCTTGGCCACACGTGCCTTTCAGCAAAGGATTATTTTATCCATAACTCTATTTTTTCGTGAACATTATCATCATAATTAAGGAATTTAAAATTGACGTGTTGGAACGACCTTCTAGTCACTCTTTTCAATGTCGATTCATCCGGCTCCTTTTATTCAACTCAAAAGTTACCAAATCTCGAATCTTTGAACATTCAATAAATTAAACTAGAGTTTTAAATGATCTTCAAAATGGAAGATCTTTAAAAAAAATCGATTTCTGAAGATTATTATTTTTAAGAATGCTCAAGCTGGATCTTTGATCAAATTTTAAAATTCCAAATCTTTCATAAGCAAAAATATATGATGCTTAAAAAAATCTTTAATGATGAAATCACCATTTTTTTAGGCGAAAAATTTTTTTTCTTTCAACCTCTGATTAAATTAGCACTAGTCAATGAGGTACGGACTATAAAACCCCAGCCCAAAATAGAGGCTTTTGCCCCCATATAATCTATGATTTAAAATAAAGTTAAAATTAGTTAAGTACGTTAATTTTTTTTTTAAAAAGGGCTCATAATTACCCCATTTTCTCCCGACTTCTCGCTAGAATTATATTTTTTCAAAATCTTTTTAGCCTCTTTCATTTTCTCTCCAGATATTAGATCACGTTTTTTTAAAAAAAAATTTATTCTTTATCAACGAAATGTCAACAGAATATTAAATAAAATTTATCCAATTTCTCTTTAGCCCCAAATTTTGAGAAAGGAATTTTAAAAAAAGATTATCGTAAATATTGATCGATAGAAGAAGATACTCAACTAAAACTACTTTTTTTCTCATGATAATTGGTTTTAGTTTTTATGCGCATTTTTTTTAAAAAAAAT